ATATATATGTATATTTATATATATCCACAGAAGCGTCCGACTTTATTAGAAAAAAGGACTTTCTGCTGATTGTTGCAGCTTCTTCCTGCAGACGTGAATCAATCCTGAGTTCGAAAACGTTCCTCATCACCAACACGTCGGCAGAAAGTCATCGAGGAACTGAAGCATTTGTCTGTTTGCTGTTAAACCGTCAGTTTGATGAGTTTAAATTCGTTATCGTTCAACATCTGCGGCCCCAAACTGTGACAGATCTCTGGTTTTTTACCGATGATGTGTTTCCATTTCTGGGGCAACGAACATTTTGATAACCGTGAAATTTGCTTTTATCTACTTTCTGACTGATTACAGGAACTCAATCACTTCTATCTGCGTGTTGAGTTCTGGAGGAGGCATGTCGTTAAATTAGCAAAACAAAGTGACAAACTTGCACCAACAAAAAAAGCGAAAATAAATAAACGTAAATAAATTCGTAAAATCACCCGATCTGACTGTTTAGCGCCGTTGACATGCTAACGGTGGCTAAACCTTCCAACTAGAAGTGACTCAAACAATCAACATGTCTTCACCCATTAAAGGAAAAACAGTTAAAACTTCAAAAAATCTAAACAAGACGGTTCCTGTAAAACCTCATCGTTGTGTTTTTGAGCGTCTAAAACCCGTGACGCTGTTTTTCGTCAACCAGCTGCTAACGAAACTCAGCTCTTTTAAATCGTCTCTGCAGAATAAAACCGTAAACTCACGCTAAAAGGCTCGAGCACCGTTTATTTTTGGATAAAATCTATTTTTGCACATTTGCGTCTCGTCTCCGTGCAGGTTCGTCTTCCGGCCGAAACTCAAAATAGAAATCTATATTAATCTATATTAGTGTTTATCACCGTCGTCGTTCTTCCATCGGAGTATTTTCTACAATTTACATCCGAATTATTTTAGTATTCGTGAGTTTAAACTAGTAAAATGTTCTTTTTCCTGTTTCGATGCACAAACCAAATATTTTTATGCATTTATATGCAAAAAAAAAATAGAAGAAACACAACCGTGTTCGTCTTCTTGAGTTGTAATAAAAATTATGTTCAACCAACAAACTGTTGAGTTTATTCACAATTGTTCATATTTTAAATTAACCAATTACTTAATAATTGGTAGCAGTAGTTTTCAGGTTTTTAGGGACTTGGTTATCGAGCTAATTTCACCTCAACTTGAATAAAAGCAGAAATCTGAGTTGAAGTGAAGCGACCTTATTGTGTCAAAATAACTCACTGAAATAAAGTTTTCAGTTTAAAGGTTTAATCTAAAGTGATTAAAACAGTTGAACTTTCATTTAAAGTCAACTGAAGCAGGAATGTGAGTTGAAGTTACTCATAACATTAAGTCTGATCTGTTTACCGACGTTAGCATCTAAACATTAAAATAATGTTCTGTAACTTTAAAGCTTCATTTAATAAAATGACAGGAAACAGGTCATTGATGCTGCATTTAAAAAAATGTTTGTGCCAATATTTTTGAGATGTGATAACTTTTAATGAAATTGTGGTCAACCAACAAACTGCTTTGAGTTACGTGAGCTAGCTTTTCCTTGTTTAACCAGTTTTAACCGTCTGAAACAAAAAAAACAAATTATCAAAGAAATTTCAATAAAATTACTTGAATTTAGCTGAAATCAACTAAAGCGGAACTTTGAGTTTAAATAATGCACGATATTAAGTTGATGCAAGCCATAAAAACAGTGTTAGCGACTTAAGTACTTTAATAAAGCAGCAAACTAGGTTTGTTTTTAGTTTTAAGTTGTGGTTTAAGGTCAGTTGAGTAGCTTTATAAAACCATGTCGAGCGTCGGCCTCCATACAGTTAGCGCCGTTAGCTCTGTTAGTGTCGTTAGCTCTCATAGCGCAGTTAG